TCCTTCCAACTCTAAATCCTGCTTCTGTGACAATCAACCCAAACTCACAGTTCACCAACCTGGTTCACAAAACACAGACCTCTCTCCTCTTTCCTTCATGGTGACAGCCTTCTCTTCTTCAGTGCAGAAGTTGCTGTAAATATAGAACAAGTGTTAACAGGATTAGATTGCATTTCTAAAACAGTCTTCACTCTGGCTGGATGCTCTCTACAGTAATTCTCTCCCTGGCTTTCCATGACACATAGGAAGGCCTAAGGGTCCTGGAGACCAAGGATTTTGTCCTGACTTTGTCACTAACTTGCTATGAGACCTTGCACAAAGGGCCTTTTGGCTGCCTCCCTTGTACCAATGAGGGAACGTTTGGATTCTATAACTTCTAGCTTTATTTAACATTTTCTTCTTACGTCTTCCACTCACCTTCTCCTTGATATGAAAACCGCTTCACTCTTTCTAACCATATCATCTGAGTTTATCTTCTAGGCTCCCCAAGCACTAGGGCCCTTCTTTTAGCTGTGTCCTGCCCTTCTGTTCAGTAGCCTTTCCTTGGGGATGCCAAGGGTCTAAGCTACCCAAAACAGAATTGCTGCATCCACTACGGATCCCAAATGTATCACCACATTGACCACAATATTTAAGGATCAAAGGAGCTGGAAGGAACCTCAGGGGCTGTCTCAATTTCGGCAATATAAAGAACGATTTAGTCTAGTCCTATGAGAAGGAAGCAGTTCATTTTACAGATGAAGAGACTGAATCTGAAGGAGGCTAAGTGACTTCCCCACCTACTATAGCTATCCCTTCCACATTGCAGGAGTTAGGGCTATGGCAACCCCATGAGCTGGAAAATCCACAAAAACTTTTGGTCCTTCTTTCATGCCAGAGAAGAAGTCTGAATTATTATGGTATTAAAAGATAAAATATTATATAATACTATACATATATTTTATGCATTTCTGAGTTTCTAAATTTTTTGTGCTGTCTGCTGGCTTTCATGTGTCATCTATGGCTTCTGCAAAACTCCCCCAAAATTCTCATTTAATTTCTTATGCTGACTTGTGATGCACGGAAACCGCAATGGGCAACGTTGCAGTGTGGAAGGGATAACTGCACACAGTAAGTCAGCATCAGAAGTGCATTGTAAACCCCAGTCCTCTGATTGCGGAGCCAGGGCTCCTTCCACTGGACCCTGATGACAGACTCACGAGGCCAAGTTCTCTCTCTCTGCAGTATGTCTGTTCTCCCTTCATTTCTTAGGTTTTACCTACATGCAAATCTCAGTGTCCACCAATTCACTTCTAGTAGTTCATGTGAATGGATCATTCTACATTTTCTTTTTTTGGAAAAACAATTTTTTTTTATAGTAACCCTCTAAGTTTGGTGGTCTCTGTATTATTTCTCTTTTATAGATGATGAAACTGAAGCACAGATGGAGAACCTGACTTGGGTCAGGGCCTAGAAAGTGATAGTGCTGGGACTTGAACCCAAGCCTTTCCAAAGGTCCTTCAACGCCCGCTTTGGGGTGGGCTGAAGGGACTGAGGGAAGGGAAGGGCGGCTGGGAAAATCTTCACAGAAAAGATGAGATTAGAGCTCAAAGATTTCAAGCTGGGAAGACTTTAGAGGCCATCTAGTTTGACTTCATTTTACAGAGGAGGAAACTGAGGCAAGTTTTAAGTAACTTGCCCAAAGTCACACAGGGAGTAAGTGGAAGACCCAGAATTTCAGTCCAAGATCTCCTCACTGCAACATTCCGTTTCTCTAAGGGTAGGCAGTATTTTGTTTTGTTTTTTTGGGCAATTGGGGTTAAGTGACTTGACCAGGGTCACACAGCTAGTAAGTGTCAAGTGCTTGGTCTGAAGCCAGATTTGAACTCAGGTCCTCCTGACTTCAGGGCCGGTGCTTTATCTACTTCGCCACTTAGCTGCCCCCTTGGTAGACAGTATTTTTTATCAATGTATAGGAGATGGGAAGCCATCCAAGTGGGAAGAATGGCATGGACACTAGGGATGTGAGAAAGTTGGAGGACTATTGGCAGAATAGCCAAAAGAACAATTTTTTTTCTGGAGAGGAAGGCTTAAGGAGGGCAGTAGGACGTGACAAGAAAGACAGGGTGAGGACATAGAATAGAGGGAAGGCCTTAAGGAGCTTTACCCTGTTGGCAGTGGGGAACCATTAAAGGTTTTTGAGCAGGGGAGTGTCAGCCTCACGTTTTCTTTAAGAATTATAGGTTCTTCTCTCCTACCAACTCTTTTCTTTTTCTTTTGCTCTGTTTCATCTGTATAGAAATCTTCATTTTGTTTACCTGTTAATGTAAATCCAGAAATAGGAATTGTTATTTGGGACATTTGAGATGTATCAGAAAATACTTTCATAAAAACAACTCACATTTACACAACTTAAGGCTTACAGAACACTTTCCTTACAACAACATTGTGTGTTATTGTAATTATTATCATTTAATAGAGGGGAAAATGGAAACTCAGGGAAATTAAAGTGATAAGTGTCAGTCAGGAGTAGGACCCAGTTTTTCTGGCCTCTTCCATTTCCATAAATGCCCTCCCTGTTGTAGGACTGACTCAAGTGTATTCCTCACATTGCCTGAGACACAGGTAAGTGCTGAAAGAACATGTTGTCTCTAGTTTCTTGCCAGAATAGGACTGTCCATGTATCAACAGTCCTACTTGGCCAGATTCATCACTGCTTGAGAATACAGACTCAGTGTAGGCTTCACAGGGGACTGGAAAGATCAGGAAAATCATCCGAAGAAAGAAGAGACTTGAATTGGGTTGAGAAAAGGGCAAATGAGAGTTGGAAACTGGTACTAATCTTCTAGGTGCATCAAGGTAGCTCAGTGGATACAATGCCAGACCCGGAATCAGGAAAACTCATCTTCCTGAGTTCAAATCTGGCCTCAGACATTTACTAGCTGTGGGACCCTGGGCAAGTCACTTAACCTTGTTTTCCTCAGTTTCCTCAACTGTAAAACATGAGCTGGAGGAAAGAAATGGCAAACCACTCCAGTATCTCTGCCAAGAAAACTCCAAAATGGGGCAATGAAGAGTCAGACATAACTGAAATGACTGAACAACAACTAGTCTCTAATCCTTGTAAACTATCAAGGCTATAAACTATGTATGAACCAAGTTAGGTTATAATTCCCTGTGATCACAGAGTTCTAACCTTAAGGAGGACGTCTTCTCCTGCTGCAATCTGCTCTTGACCATGGTGTCTCATTTTTGTCCCCAGATGGTGAGAGCTTCTTCTGATCTAAAGAAGCAACAAAAATGCCCATTATCAACGAACAAATGCATGAAATCAGTGAATAAATAAAAATGTCTTTTATTAAGTGCTTACCATGTAATAGACACTGTACAAAGTCCTGCGTATGATATAATTACAAAAAGGAGCTAGTCCTTGTCCTCAAGCAGCTTGCCTCCTAATGGAGTAGAAAACACACATACAAGAGTGTTTGGGGTAGAGAGGAATGTTTTGGTTTGGGAAATGACCTAGAAATCTACTCACGAACGGCGACACTGAAGAGCTAACTGACATGTCTTTCCAAGGAGCACTGATTTGTATTTTATTTTATACATAAAAAATATTATTCTAAGAAGGGATCCATAGACTTTACCAGATTATCAAAGGAGTCAATGATATACATAAAGGTTAAGGAACTCTGTCAAGTCAAACCTGAATGTAAAAATAGTAACACTTTCCCAAGCACTTTTCTCACAACAAGACTGTAAGGTTGGTTGCACAAAGATGATCTAATGTTTTAAAGGCTCTGTGATCTCATCATTGTGGGTGTGTCCTCCAATAGCGTATGTCATAACTTATCCTTACCTTCTTCTTATCCTGTGTAGCTCTGGTCCATATCCTCCAGTAAATCCCTACCTCCCTGCCCTGGCCCCTGCCCAAGAGCTCTATCCAACGTGCTGGGGGCCTTTTGCTAACTCAACACTTTAAAATACTAATATATAATTCCAATGGGTTGATAAATATAATATATTTTTTAAAGTGCTTCATAAACCTTACGGTACTATTTAATCATAAGCTATTATCATTAGCCCCAATTTGCAAATGAGAAAATTGATGATGGATTAAGTGATTCACCTAGGGTGACACAGCTAGGAAGTTCAGAACCAGGATTTGAACCCAAAGCTTCCGATTCTAAGATCAGTACCCTCTACAAGGTGCCACCCTGCCTGTCTCATGGTTGAATCCTCAGAGCTTTAAGAACTCAGAGCATGAGGACATAGCTAAATCTTAACAGACCAACAGCGACATTCTACTGATTTTCTATGGGATGCATAATTTGGTCTTCCTTCCGGTGGAGGCAAAAATTGCTCATCCTCTGTTAGGTAGAAATCAGAAACAGGTGTGTGGATATGGAGAACTCTGGTATGCTACTTTGGTCCTCAGAAGCACTGCGGCAGGTGGATGGAAGAACAGCCTAGGAGTTGGGATGACCTAGGTCCACATTCGATCCCAGGACACATAATAACTATATGATCCAAGCCTCTCTGCACCCCAAGAAAAATTAAAAAAACAAAACAAAACAAAAACAGAAACCAGAGCACGGCTGCTATCTGCATTAGAAGAGGGAATTTCCTTACCTGAAACTCCCTATAGCATGAAATCACAAGTCTGGACCAAATGGGTACAACTCACCCTTTCCTCATGATAAAGGCTATGAACTTTTTCTCTCCTGTTTTCCATTCTAATATGGAGATCAATCAGTCAATACAAAAATGAGACAATCCTGTCCTTAAAAAGGCTTGATGGTTGTACAGTCCATTAACATTGGTCCTGCTCCTAGATTTGTCTTCTTTCTTGTTTGTCACTTTTGACTTCCTTCCAATGAGAGCTGGAGTTGCAATAGCTGGTGGTCCCTTGGACCTATGGGGATTTCGAAGGGTTGTTGACTTGGGAATTAAAATGGGGTGACTGGAGTAGGGTATTTTGACAGAAGAACCAGAGTCCCCATAATTGAGTCACCCCCAGCTCATTCTATATCCTTGTCATGGTGCAAATCTATGCTCTGAGTACCATGGGAGGTGTGTGCACATCGGCCTTTTCCTTCACATAGCTTACTTTGTTCTTTGGGGGTTGGGGTTAAACGTCTATCTTTGCCTAGGAGCAAAATTTTCTGGGTTCTTTGTCTTTCATGGACTTTTCTAGTAAAAACATGGCAGCTAAATCCCTCGTTGGGCCCAGATTCAGCATGTTTGCCGAGGGCCTCCAGGGTGAGGAATACCTGGCAGCAGGCCACACAACGATAACCATTGTCTGTTGTGACCATCCAATCAGGGATCTTTCTCCGTCTTCTTTCATCAATAAGGCTTGAAGGTCCTGGTACTTCCTCCTCTTTATATTCTTCACTCATCTCATCCACATTTTTCTCCACAGCCATGAGAACTTCACTGGGTAAGCTTTGGTGAGGAGACTCTAGTATGCTGTCTTCAGAAGGGTTCAACTCATAAATTTGAGGTGCCTTCTGGATTGGCTCCATTCCAGTCTCAGTCCCCCAGGCAACAGCCACTCCTTTTATGGTTTTCACCTGGACGTAGTAGAGGCACCCTTTATTATCAGTTTTGGATACTGAAGCAGAACAACAGAAAGAAGAGGTAAATGAATAGCAGATAGAAGAATTCTCATTTTCTTGCTGGTCCTTAGCCTTGATCACCTCACTGGGCCCAGGCCTTATTGAAGATTCTCCTTTCACATGCCCTGGGGAATTAAATGAACAATCTTTCACCTTTGCTTTTCTGAACCAATTCTTGCCTGCAGGTTATGAACAACTGTTGGGGAGGAGGAGCATTGATCTCCTCTTCCACTCTTGCCCCAGCTTCCCACTCTGGAGCTGGTCCATAAGAAGGCTATCTATCAAACTAGCTCACTCAAACCACTACCCTGCTTCTCCCACTGAAAACTTCCCCAGATGTAGCCACCTTTAGCTGTGTTTTCTTTTGTCCCTGGGGTTAGAGATTCTTTCTGGAGTTCTGGGGTTCTCCACAATTCTATCCCTCTCCAATGCCCAACAACCTCACTCCCAGCCTTATAAACCACTTTTTAACTTTCAATTCAAACAGTTATTCCTGAACTATGGTGCCCTGGACAAACTATTCTTAGCCTTCCTTGCTTCTAGCAAAGACCCCTTCCCTTTCAGTACTCACTACCCTGTGTCCAAAGAGTCTCAATTTGTCTCTTGCCTTTCCTTAATTCCACTCAATATTTCCCTGCTGGTCAGTCAGTGCCTCAAATGAGGAAACAGACAAGATAGTGGAAAAGAAACCAAATATGTGCATTTCTGGCTCTGTTTCAGCTTAAAATTAAATTTCCATCCCCCTGGTAAACATCCCCATAAAGGGCCAATAATAGCTATAACCATAATGTAACTCTGAATTTTTACCTTATCTCTCCCATCTTTCTCATCCCACACCATGAATTCCCTCCTTCCACCCCCACCATATTTTCCAGATTGAGCTTTTTAGGAAATGAATTAACTGAGTTCATCTCTCTGTTCCTAGCCTTTCCATCTTACCTTCTGCCTCCTGGGTTCCTTGCTCAGTATTTTTGTCACTTGATGACCTGTCTTCATGTTTACGCTTCATGGTTTCAGATGCTGAGAAGGAGAAGGCCCCTAAAAACCCACAGATCTCAGGAGCATACAAAGTCTTAGTTCTTCGAGAAATTTGGTAGAGGGAGTGGTCCAGTTCTCAACTATAGTCACTCAAAATATCAAAATACCCAAGAGCCAAAGCCAAAAGGATGGATCCAGGCAGCAACCCTCAGAGCTCACTCCACTCCTCTGTGGGGCTGTTATGATCCAAATGATCACCGGGGACCCTTCAGAATGCTGTGACCTCATCAGTGACACTGAATGATTCCATAGCCACAGATTAAAATCAAACACTGGCAACAGCAAATCCTCACCACTCTGCTGCCCCCCAACTCCCAATCAATCAGGTTTCCAAAGGACTTGCCAATTTCCTAATTTTACCTCACAACATATAATAACTAGATTTAGGGACAAATAGCTTCCTGAGCAGCTAGGTGGAACAGATAGAGTGCTGGACCTGAAGTCAGGAAGACTCATCTCCTTGAGTTCAAATCCAGCCTCAGTCACTCACTAGCGGTATAACCCTGGGGAAGTCATTTAATCCTGTTTCCCTCGGTTTCCTCATCTGTAAAATGAGCTGGAGAAAGATAAGACAAAACTACTCCAGTATTTTTGCCAAGAAAACCTCAAACAGGGTCACAGATATGACTAAACAACAACAACAAAATCTTCTTGGATTTGGGAGATATAATTTTTTCATCTGCCCAAAGAGTCTCTGATTCCTGGTCCTAATTCTTACCTCCCACCTTCCCACTCACTTTGTACCCTTAATTTTCTGGACTAAGTGTTCACATTTGGAGAGTCACTCCTAAATAGCTATTGAGCTCCAAGTTTTGTTGAAATTTTGATTAGATACTGTTGAAAAAATTTATTGAAAATACATGTGAAACAGGACAGAAGTTGCCAGGCCAAGGTGGAGATTGTCCTCAAATAGTCTTGTCCCCTGGAGAATAATGCATTTATTTTTTCAATCTTATCTCTTGAAGACCTCATGGAATTCAGGGGTAGAAAGTACATAGTGTACATCTGGGCAGGGAAATCACAAATATGCTCAAGGCTTCCCACCTCCTGCTAAATGCCTTCAACAGGTAGGTGGATGTGGGGTGGGGTAGTGGGAACCTTGCAAAATAAGGTTATAGAAGCAAATACACATGTGTCCATTTCCTTTGTCTTTCAGAAGAGAGACAAAGAAGGGTATGCTGGAGCCTGCTTGTGCCAGCAAGGTGAGGTGCAGATTGCTAAATTTTCACAGGAAGCATTTACACCTGAGAAATAGGAAAGCTCTACAAATCAGGGCTTGATTTATTGTTTTGCTGAATGTCCAGATTTAAGAAAGTGATGAAGAAAATGTTAATGATGCAGATTAAATTTAAAAGTATGTCATGGGTACATTTTGGGACGGGACAGGGGAGCGTGGAGAGCCTGTTACTAAACATTTACTAGGCAGTGGATAGAGCAGTGGGCCAGAACCCAGGGAGACTCATCTTCCTATGTTCAAATCTGGTCTCAGACACTTAACTAGCTGTGTGACCCTGGGCAAGTCGCTTACCTCTGGCTCAGTTTCCTCAATTGTAAAATGGGGATAATAACCTACCTCCCAGGGTTGTTGTGAGGATTGAATGAGATAACACTTGTGAAGTTCTTAGCACAGTGCCTGGCTCATGGTAGACACTATAAATGCTTATTCCTTCCCACCTCTACCCCTCTTCCACCACCCCCTCCCCCCTATTCCTTTGGGATAGTTCAAATTTGTTTGGCCTGAAACTTCTGGGAGCAAAGAGAAAGTATCTCCTCCATCAACTACGTACAGAGACACCAAACTTCATAGACTGAAAATCCTTATTAAAATGAATACCCATGTCAGTTATTTCAACAATTCCACAGGAACATGGACATGATTAAACCGCTAAGAGGGAAGGCAGAAGGAAGGAGTTTGGACTCAGGCAGGTTTCTTCTGACATTTATTTGTTGTTGTTACTGTTCTTCAGATGTGTTTGACTCTTCGTGACCTCATTTGAGGTTTTCTTGGCAAAGATACTGGAGTGTTTTGCCATTTCCTTCTCCAGCCCATTTTACAGATGAGGAAAGTGAGGCAAACAGGCTATGGCCCTTATTAAAATTATGGGCCTAACATAAATTGTTTGCTCCTGTTTCTGCTAGCTTATTGGGTTTTTTTTTTAAACATTTCATCAGGCTCTCTCCTTTAGTTTGTGCATACATGTGCACACACAGAGTTTCACTTTATCAGTGGTCACTCAGAAGTCTATCTGAAGCTCTCTAATATAAATGGTTGCTAGGTATTTCCTATGAGATCACAGTAGAAATATCACAGGTTAATTTTTCCCCCAAAACCCTACTTCAGTTACTCACAAATGTCCTCTAGAATCAACATCTAGAATTATTTGTTTTATTATTATAATTTAATTTGTTCAGAGTCTCTGTATGCCATATACTCAAATTTCAGCATGATATCTTAGATTGGTGTATATTGTCTCCCTCCAATAGAATATAATCTCCTTGAGGGCAGGAACTTTTATTTTTTTCATTTGTTTCCCTAACATAATAGGCACTTAATAAATGCTCACTGATTGAGTGGTACAACTTCAAATTCTGCATCTCACACAATCCTTGTCTTGGAAGGAAAATTGGACCCAAGTGTAGTGTGGGGATCCTGCATTACTTCAGGGTGGAATGGGAAACAGTCATTTAAAAAACATCAAGCAACAACAAAAGTTAGGTTAAAAACACTAAACATTGTTACTACCTAATCAAAGTTAAAGAATCCAGTCTTCCTTTCCTTCAACAAAAGATAAATTACAAAAGATTCCGAGGGTGATCAGTCATAAATTGTGCTGTTGCACTGAATAGTTTCAGGGGTGTATACTTTGGTTGGAGTCTGGTTATGTGTCTGTTTTATGATTTTTAACTATAAAACAATATTTATCAATAAAAAAATTAAATAAAAAAGACATGTCAATCCTTTCATTTGCACTGGTTAAAGAGACATACTCAAATCTCACAAAATGAAGCCAGAGTATCTTTTAGTATTAGGTCAAACCATGTTCATCCTGTGTACTCCACAAAGTTTTAGGATGATTTATTGGAATTGTGGGGATATCAGTAGTGAGTCCCATGTTCAGAAACACACAAGTGTGTGCAGTCACATGCCTTTAGTTATATAATTAACTACAGTCTGCTTCTTTACAATCAGATCCAAACCTGCAAGCATAGGAACTGGTGGCAATGGTTGGCGTGAGCAAGTGATTATGGCCTACAGACTTTCTAATTTAGGGTTGTTAGATTGATTAATCAGGGCAATGTGAGAGAAATAGTATACCTCAATTTTCACAAAACATTTGGCAACCTCTTATGTTATCCTTATGGACAGGATGGAGAGATGTGGTAGTTAGACGGAGAACTCTTTGAAGTATTAAACTCAGAGAGTAATCGTTAATGAATGCCCTGCTACAAGGGGGGAAGTGGGCCATTTTCCTGAGGCTATTAACTATTGCCTCGAGAAAATTCTGACCATAGAAAAGGGTCATCAGTAATTAAATAAAGAGTACAGCTGCTTTGGGCTGTGATACCATCAGGAACACCTAGAGGAGCCTCGAGACTTTCAAGAGGAGTCAGAATGAATCAGCACCGTGTAGTGGATAGGGTGCTGGACTTTGAGTCACAAACACCCGGATTCAAATCCTGCCTCAAATACTTATTAGGGATGTGACCTTGCACCCATCACTTAACTCCTGTGCTTCAGTATCCTCACTTGTAACATGAGAAGGTTGGATTCAAAGGTCCCTCCCTTCCTGTACAATTAATCTATCAACCTGTAATCCCTTAGCATACTGTTCTACTCTGCCCAAGGACTCCCCAGACTAGGACTTCATACAGATCAGTGCACAGCTACCCAAGAGCAATCCATGATTTTTAGCTACTCCTGGGAGAGGCAGATGGTAGATAGAACAGGAGAGAGGGAGATTTTGAAATAATGCACTGGGAAGGAACACTTGACTTGCTTCTACCCTACCTGGCTGATATTATGGTAGTCCCTGAAGGGGAAGAGGAACCCAGTTGAGATGGTGCAACCATACTAGTCAAATGGAACTTACGGAGAAAGACTGGGATTTGGAGGGGGAGATTACAAAAACAGGGAGGAAACTCAAAAGCTGGGATAGTGCATGAGGATAGAAAAATCATCCCCACAATTAATCTTGTTTTGCGAGAGTCTAAAATTGCTGAATCCGCACGGTTGGAAGGCACCCTGGTTAGAACAGAGAACAGCATTGGAAAAAAAAAAAAGAACAGCCTCTATCTTTATCTCTGTCCCATTGGGTCTTGTTTCTTTACTGAATGGGAAATCAAAGGGAGAAAAAGTGTCTCCAGGACGTCTGGATCAGGTGAAGAGTAGTCTCAAAATAGGCTAGGACTCCAGGATTTCAATGGTCACTTTCTTTCCCTAATATCTGCGCTCTTCTCACTGCTTCAGTTTGGATAGGATCTCCTAGATGGGAGGGCTTTTATGTTCTGGAATCTTTTTGATGGGCATTGCAAGAAGAGTCTGGGGAAATCTACAATATATTCCTTGGCAAGATAGAGAATCTAACCTGACACAAATCTGGAAGATCTCACTTCCTAAGAAATATTAGAACATATACCAGTCTCAAAAGCCTACATGGCCAAATCAAAGAGAGCTTCTTGGCTTATAACACAAGAGTATTGAGAAAGAAGAAAGAGGAAAAGGCTGGCTTCAAAATAGAGGGAAGGGAGGATGCCAGTCTAGGATGGAGGAAAATGTGCAGGAGGTCCCAGGAAGGAGACAGGGGAAATGAGAGTTCAATCCATGGGCCAGCCCTATTGCTAGGTCCATACCTCTCAGCTTCATCTGTGAAATATAGGGGTAATATCGAACCCAGAATCAGTCAGAACTGCAACACCATCAGCATCTAGACTGCATAAGGGAAAGAGGGGACCTAACCAAATGATCCAGGA